GTTACTATAAGTTTACAGCTATTCTTTTTGTATTCTTATTTATTCTGTAAATTTCTACCGGTATCTGTATGTTCTATTTCTATGTTCTGATTCTTGTTTAGCACTGTTTTCTTAACTACTACGTCTTTAAACTTTTGTTTTCTCCTGGGTCTATAGCTCTTGCAGCCAATCTCTGCCCATTTGAATGTGAAAATCCTTTTCACTCCTCCATAGATTTGTGAATGGGCTCGTCTCTCCTCCCACTTCTCCAACACTTACAGGCCTCTGTTTCTGGAATTGGTTTGTAGAGCTCTGCACCTGGGCTGCTGCAAGTAGTGGCCTTGCTTGGGTTTGCAGACTCTGGTGGGGCTCTTTTCCTTCCCTGCCTCTCAGCAGTCGTGCAGCTCCAATAATTGAAGTTTTCTCTTGCTATCTGAAGATGACTGCTGAGGTTCTCACCTTTGAGTTGGAGTTTCTCTTACCCACAGCTGTGTTATCCTCTAGTGTGACTCTTTTTCTTGGGACACTCACACGCCTGCTTGTTTTCAGTTCCCAAACTCCTCAATTAACTCTCCTTCTCAGGTAGTACCAAACTCTGGATCCCCAGGAAGAAAAATGCTCTAGGTGGTGAGTTCACTCTTCTCCACTTTAATTATTTTTGCCGAGTCAGTAACATCTGCGAGAGCTGACTCACTCCCAAGTTCTATTTGTAAAACAGTGTCATCTTGGAGGACCTAAGAGATGGGTCTTCTCTGTGGCTGCACTTGCCCTATGGAGCAATCCAAAAGGCCCCAACCCTGCTGGTGCTTTCACAAATTTTTTGCTTCCTTAGAATTACATAACTTTTGCCTTGCATGTTACTTGGTTTGGGGTTTTCCACTTTTCTAATGCACTGTTGGTTATTAATGTCTAGCATTGTTGTAATCATATTGTGGCTTTGGGCGACAGCTCTGATTCTTTTTAAAAACTAATATGCAAGCTGCCTAGAGTTACCTCATCATTCAGGTAGCCTATGAGTTTATCAAGTAAATTAATAAAAATGACCCATTCATAAATAATGAAGTTCTTCTTTCCCTATCATCTCTACTGACCAGGGGCAAGCTTGCTTTCTGATACCTGTTCCCAGCAAATGATTGATTCTATAATATTCCTATAAGGGGCTTTTGAAATTTCTTCTAATTTTGCAAATGTGTATAAAGAGATAAAGAAGTGTAAACCATTCATGAATATGCAAGCAAACATATTAAATACAAGGAGGTTACATATGTCTTTCCTCAACTTTCTCTTGGGGCATTTCCATTTTGAAATTAAAAATTATTCTTATAAGACCAGTTGGAATAAAGAAGCATATGGAGGCAAAAGGATTATTTTCTTCTCACTCTCATTCTATCTCTCCCTACCTAGCATCATGCATAATTAGGTATCACTGTAGATATATTTGATAATGATGATACACGAAGAAGAATCCATTCTGTAGATCTTAAACCATGGATAGAAACATTGCGGTCAACAAATGGTGTAAAAGACAATAAATACATAAACAGCACAGATGATTCTTGAGGGAACATGCTTTCCCATACAGTTGCATATCTAAATTTCAGATGAGCTCCCTTTTCCTACCACTTAACAGAAATTTTTTTGTCAGGATTCTGTTTCACTCAGCTTATGTCCAGGCAATGTAAGATATTTTCCTGAGTCCTTGAATCAGAAAGATAAATAGAAATGGGTATCGCCTACATACTAAGAACAGTGCATTGGTAATATGGTTTTGTAAAAGTTGAAAAAGCATGAAAAAGATAGAACTTTATAATACCTCATTGACAAATGCTCAGATATCAGACCAATGTCTTCCAGCACCACCTACTGGAGACTGTTCATCAGACAAAATCAATTCAGAACAGGACTACTTGTTCAAAAAGATCATCACAGTAGTGAAATCTGCCAGATATGCATCAAAATCAGGCTGTGGCACTTTTCCTTTGCCTATTTACTAGTTTTGATCACCTATAAAGGGAATTTCAATGAGATCCCAAATCAGACTAGAACTCAAACTGGACTGGGTTAAATAATATCTCATTTAATTAAATCTCAATGTCATTTAAATTCATCTGGGACTTAGTTCCTATCACTTGTTTGAACAGGTTGTCCACTACTTCAAAAAGAGACCATAGAATAAATATTAAGAACTCATCTTAAGCAATAACTAGCCTTCCTTAGTATTCCAGGAATCCTTCCTTCCTGTAAGAACATATTAATTATCTCTGTCCTTGAAATGAGCTGTCCTCTGGCAACTTTACCAAATGGACAAGGATCAAGATTTAAGTAATGAGTTGGAATTATTGACAATCTTGTCCACAACTTCTGGATATGAAATATCCATTACAACAGAACAAGCAAATGCTTCAGATACAGGTAGTACTCGCTTTACAACTGTTCTTTCGAAGACACAACATCACTGAAAAAAGCGACTTATAACTATTTTTCACACTTATGACTGTTGCAATATCTCCATGGCCACATTATCAAAATTCAGATACTAGGCAACTGACTTATATTTATGATGGTTGCAGTGTCCCGAGATCATATGATCACCTTTCTGAAAAGCAAAGTCAATGGGGAAGGCAGATTCACTGAATAACCGTGAAATTAACTGAACAGCTATAGTGCTTGACTATGGGAACTATGGGAAGAAAAGTTGTAAAATGGGGCAAAATTCTGTCTCGCTCAGCAACAGAAATGTTGGGCTCAATTGTGGTTGTAAGACAAGGACGACCTGCACATGAAAAGATACAGAATTAATATGGGATACAGTGGTTTTACTTGCACATACTTGACATAATACTGTTTGAACCTGTTGGAAGTGGACAGGGTCTTTAGGACTATGAGTTCAGCCTCCTGCTCCCTAGATCCATACCCCTCCTGGCTTGTGAAAGTGGCTCAGGGGCTGTTGGGTAGTTTTTAACAGCAGTGAGTTCTCGGAGTGAAGAGGTTGTTGTCGACCCTGAAGCTGACATATGTGTAGCCATGTTTTATTGTAGTCATTTCCTATTCTTTTTCTAAGCTTTTTCTAGGTATTCTGTAAGAGGATCTAATGAGGCTTTAGGCTTGCCACATTCTAGCAGTAGGAAGGGGAGTTGCAGAGATAAGGGGAGATGCTATGGCTAGGTAGCATTCTTTCCCGTGGGAACTGAGAATGTGCCTACAGATGGCTGAAGGTGGAGTTTGGAGTCACTGGACAGTTGGACTGTGAGCTGATTGGAGAATGTGACTCTGGGGGGAAGTTTCAAACTTTTGCTTTTTACTGGGTGTAATTCCGGGCTTTCGTCAGAGCTTGACAATTTGATATGTTTCTAATAAACAGACTTTGACTGAATATAACTGCCTTGGATTGTTCATTCCAGGGACTTATTACTTGGAAGCTTGACAGTTGTTCCTTCACCTCTCAAGGAGGCTTTGGTTTACCTGCTCCTCAAGAAACCATCTCCAGAACTCCAATATCCTCTTTTGGGGGAAGATGACTGAGAAGGTGGTTGTGCAGTAGCTTCAGAGGACCTTGGATGAAGTGAATTATCTGGCACTTTTTCAGTCAGAGTCCACACCTGGGTATGGTATGGCAATGGCACAGGTTGACTTTTGGATGATTTCTGCCACAGGCAGGATAGTGGATGTGGGTCCCTCCTTGCCTTATTTGACATTTCATGTCAAATGACATGAAATATCATTTCATGTCAGAGAGGGGGGGAGGGGGAGGGAGGGAGAGAGAGGGAGAGGGAGAGAGGGAGGGAGGGATTTCCATTTCTTTAGAGATCTTACATGCCAATAACTACCATGCTTTAAGGTAATATTTTTTCAGGATATCAGGATTATCATAAAGTTTCCTGCCACAGATCCTATCACCAGGTTCTAGCAGAAAACAAACAAGGTCAACATATGCCCTCCAATACATGATGGACTACAGAATAACTGAGACAGGTCCATGATTTTCACTTGTTTATATGAGGAGCCACATAAGAATTTTAGTATGATTGTTTCTCTTATTTCTCTAAATTAGGAAACCTGGAAAATGCTTCAATGCCATGTCCAAGTTTGTTTCTATAGACTAAAAGAAGACGACCCTCACACAGATGGTTCATCAGCTGAATCCAAATCTTATCTTGAAGATTTATTAAATGATACAGACACTCAGAAATCCACATCTATCACACAGGATACCAATCAATGCAAAAGTCTTAGGACAGTTGACTGTACTCTGCTTCTCCTTTCCCAGGCTTAGTTTGCTACAGCTTGAAGAAATTTTGCTGATGACATAGGAGACATTAATGATTGCACACTGTCTTAGTAATTTTATCATTTATGCGATATCAGCATGCTCATGTTTTATATGCCCGAGGTCTTTCCATTTACTATGTTGTAATTCACGTTGCCAGCAATCTCATACACACAAATACAAAGTGTGGAGATAATATTTCATTTGAAAACTTACACGTTGTTTTCAGTTCAGTAAATTCAACTACCAGCAACAAAGCTTAAAAACAAATTGAAGTACAGAACTGATACAAACTGAAATAGAATTTTACATATATATTTGATTCTACTGAATCCAAATGAACTAGCACTCTTCAGTGCTTTTTACCAGAAAATAATTTTTCTAATTTTAAAAATGTTGTGCATTTTAAGTAATAACCTTTTAGCAATTAAGCCTTAAAGAAAGATAAGTTTCTATACATTTTTGTAAATAACCCACATGCTAATAAATGAATTCTTAATTGTGGAATATGGATCAAAGGACACGATCACTTTTTACAGGAAGTTAGGAATACAGCATAAAAAAAGAGAAACATAAAGTATATCGTTACATTGCCAAAGCAAACCACTTTAAAATTCATCCAAAACCCAAATATTTTTCAGAGTTTAGAGCTATAAACAATATATACTGAACAAAACCACCTTCTTAATTAACACAACATTAACCCTTACATTAGCCCACCAAATGAGTCCAGTGATAGAGAATTTTAATTCACCTTGGTAAACTGGTGCGTCCAGCGTCCAGTGTCAGATCTGTGTGTACCATTTCCTGTTTCAGTTCTCCGATTTCTGAAGCTATTGTGTCAATTAGCTTGAAGGACAAAAGCAATATGACATCAGAAAGTGGAAGATGTAGAAATAAAAGAATGGACAAGATGAGTCACTTAGGATTACAACTCATTTCACCCTGCCTAATTCTGACTTCCCGTTCTTAAGAGGAACCAACATAATGAAGCATGTATTTCATTCAGTCACATATAAAATCAGCTTGTAGTATACATACCTAATACTCCTTCGTCCTCCTCTTTTCCCTACAACACCTATCCTTGAAGTCGGTTGGGTTCAGAGAGAAGACTGGCCCATGGCCACCCAGTTGGGTTTCATGCCTAAGGGGGAACTAGAACTTACAGTCTCCTGGTTTCTATCCTGGTGCCTTAACCACTAAACCAAAATCATTAAATAAATGATTTGTAAAATTCTATTTAAGATTTGTATTGTTATTGAACTGATACTGGAAGAGAGAAAAAAATATGCAAACAACAAAAAAGAAAATAAATAAAAGAAAATAAATAAAATATATAAAAATCTAAGTGTTTAAAGTTTGATCATACAGAATATCATTTTCCATACTTTGTTAAAGAACCCATGTACTGTATAAAGAAGAGAGTGGACAAATATCAATAATCCAAGATTATAAAACCAGGGTGGCACTGTCTTTCCGTTGAGGTTTTTTGTTTTTTTGTTTTGCTAAGTCCCATTTTGATACTTTTACATCTCTTTATATAAATTTTGTATATATAATTCAAAAGCAGATCTCTAAACTCTGTTATGCTTCCTAAAACCATACAAACAAACACGGAAATCAAATAAAAATGGAACAATAGTATGACAAGCTTTTCTACAGATCATTTATATAAGTTTTCCCTCCATTGGTTTAGACTCATCCATTCTGAGAAATTCTGTATGATTGAAATATACTTGTATTCCATTAGTGTGAATTATAATTATTGAAATGAAGTACTTAATTTCTTAGGGATTTAAATACCATCCCAATTTCTCTAAAGCACTAATGAGTTCTAAGAAGCAACTAACAATGAGTTGAATTATACACTAGTAATAGTGTATTTATGAATAAACCATATTATAGATTTTCAAATACTACATATTAGTTAGGCACATGGAATATTGTAAATGTCAACAGTACCTTAATGTAAATGAAATGCTCTCTTATGTACAAACTGAAAAATTATACATGTATTTTCTTCATAGTGTTTTCCTGCAAGTGTAAAATCTGCTTTTTTTCAGATCAACGAAGTATTGATCCTTTGGGCACAACATTTTCTCAAAATGCATGTGAATTTTGAGTTCTTTTTTTTTCCAAATGTTGGGCTTCCATCCATAAATATTTACTGGTGTAAATATTATAAGAAAATGATATTGCTCTATTCACTCAAGGCTTCTGCTAACATTTTATGGCAAGATTTGTTATGCGCAACATCCCAAAATCATCACAATCATAACCTATGACAGGTATACAATTTTTAATATAACTTTATTAAAATTTTAAGATGAAAGTTAAAACCAAAAACTAATATTTAGAATAAAAAAGGAAGAGAAAGAAAAGATATAAGAGAAGAACAGAAACAATAATCCAGTAGAAAAGGAATGTAAAGAAATTACTTCCAATTTTCTTTTATAGCAGTTGTAAGTATAAATGTAAATTATTATCTTATTCTATGGTTACAATTTTGCTTATATTTTTCTATAATCTATTTTTCTAATTATCAAACCATATATCATAATTTGTTTTTTCAGTTTGTGAAAAAAGCAAATAAAGTATTTCTAATTAGCATTAAACCCAGGTGATGTCCTATCTCTAATTAAAACTGTCAAGTTGACCACATCAGCAAGTTCCATCTTCTATGACAAGTATATAATTGATGTTGAAAGAATGAAACCAAAAATGTCACTTAAATGTATATGCTATCATTTTGTTTTTTAAGTAATAGTTTGTGCCAAGAATTCCATATTTGGAATTCCTTGCCCATGTTTAAGGGTCCGATATATGTCTACTACATAACACTAAGCCATTATTTGCTTCAGAAATTTGATGAATAAGTCATAAGTGTTTGCACATAATGCTTGTCCATAACCACACCTACATACAGACCACATATGTGCCATTTTGGACCTCTGCCTGATCACTACCTATTTTAAATACAATGAAGGTTTCTACAGACAAAAGCTGCACTATGGGTTCACCAATTGTGGCCAATCTCTACATGGAAGATGTAGAAACCAAAGCCCTAAACTCTTTCACAGGATTTCCACCCACTCACTATAGGTATGTGGACAATACCTGGGTCAAGTTTAAAATACAGGAAATGGAAACCTTCACCAAACACCTCAATTCTACGAACAGATAGATTAAGTTCACACAGGAAGATGTCAAAGAAAACAGTCTGGCTTTTCTAGACTATGCAGTGCATATTAAGGAAGGCAGAAGCATTAACACTGAAGTTTACAGAAAACCCCCACACAGAGATCAGTATTTACATTTTGATTCTCACCATCACTTGAGCAGAAAATGGGAGTGATCAGAACCCTACACCACCAGACTGAAAGTTTGCCTACCAGTAAAGAGGGAAAACAAAAAGAACTAAAACATGACAAGGAATCCCTCAGAATTTGGGATTATCCTAACTGGGCCTTCATCAAATCCAGAAAAAGATCCAACAGAAGTTCTTCAATTACAGACAAAGAGAGAATAACAAACATAGCAATGTTCTCATTCCATACATTGTAGGAATATCTGAAAAGATCAGGAGAATTGTCAACCAACACAACATACAAGTACACTTTAAACTCAAGAATACACAGGAGAAACTCATCCACCCCAAGGATAAAACATACAGACAAAAAGTGAGCAATGTGATTTATGCAATACAATGCAATGAGACATATGCAGATCTGTACATTGGTGAAACAAAACAACCACTTCACAAGTCCATGGCACAACATAGGAGATCAAACCCATCAGGACAAGATTCAGCAGTCCATTTGCATTTGAAAGCTCTTTTATGACAGCAAAATTCAAAGTCATCACAACTGATGAAGATTCTTGAATGTTTTGTTCTTCTTCCTCAAGGAAAAAACAGTCCAGTTGCCTCTTGAAAAAGCATTTTTGAGACAACCACATCTATAATTTCTATTATGGTTTAGTAGGTACGTTGTGGATAATTCAAAATTAATCATGTCATATCATTTCTAATGCTATAATATTGTTCTGTGCAAAAACAGGCTCTGAGTAAGCAAGATGAAGTATAAACTAGCATATCCTAAAGAAGGTAAAATTGGAAGGCAAAGGAGAAGGGGACGGCAGAGGATGAGATGGTTAGGTAGTGTCATTGACGCAGTGAACATGAATTTGTGAAAACTCCAGGAGACAGTGGCAGATGGGGGGGGGGGGGGCTGGCGTTCTGTAGTCCATGGGGTCGTGAAGGACATCAAAAGAAAATAAAATCCTACTATTTTGAAAAGATAGCAGTTTGAAGAGATAAAAGTTTTGAAGAGATATAAAATTTCAGATTGTAAAGTTATTAGAACTCACTGTAATGTAAAATTTAAATCTTCTGTCCCAGCTATGATCTCAGTAAAAATTTCAAATAAAAGAAGCAAACTGGTCCCTAATGAAATTCTGAAATTCATAAACAACCAATATCTTTATTAGGATAAATAAATGAACAAGTTTTGAGTCCTTTGAAATTCATTATTTTGTCATATTCTAGACTCTGAGCAAGTAACAAAAGGGCCAATGGATTCACACCAGCTTTCCTTTCAAAGTATATTGTTTCACAATTCTGTCCACCAGGGGGAACCACACTACATCACTAAACACTAAAATATCTGCAGTATTTCAATCAATATCCTCAATAAACTCAGTCTCATAATATAAATAGTGATTACAGATACTATATATTTACTTCTATATACTTATGTAGTCAGAGGTATGTATAATATAAATCATTATTTTGATATTTATTTATATTTGCTTTCCTGTTAATTCACTGAGCTGAAATTCATGAAATGTTCTCCCTTCCCTTCCCTTCCCTTCCTTTCCCTTCCCTTCCCTTCCCTTCCCATTCCACTATGAAGTAAGCCAAACACTTTGAAGTCCAACAGCAAGTTGGAAAAAAAATAGATTAAGGTCTATTTTCAAATAACAAGGTCAAAAACAATGCTTGGATTTTTAAAATGTATTCCTAACATATAATGGGTGTACAAAGTATAATTTCATCTTATTATTAGAGGTAGCACGTCTGTTATCAGGAAACAACCTGATGTTTGTCTACAAACTGATATGCTTTGTGGGGATTGGATAGAAAGGCTTGTATATCATAGCTAGAAAATGGGGATTAGAAGTGTTCTATACTTCTGAAGAATATAAACCAATTCTTACATTGGCAAGAAATGCACAGTGGGATCTCTTGGAATCGGTACTTTTCAGCTCATAATTAATTCATCCTGTTGATGGCACTCCATATACACAGCCCAAAATAATTTCCATTACACAGACAATACTTTTATCATAATAAAAAAGAAATAGTGAGACACACCAAACAATCAACAACTTTAAAGGTGTAACATTTACAAGAGAATAAGACAGCAACAAAAATTACCTTTCCTGGATATCTTCACCAGGCTAAAATCACAAGCATAGTAAAAAATAATTCACAGAACCAAAGCAACAACTCAACTGCCTCCAGAGGAATTGAATATAAACACGATTCAGACAAGGAAATGCACACACAATGGTCCAAACTCCAAAGGAAGTAGATTACCTACAGAGCATCTTCCAGTCCAATAGAAATCCTGCAATTTTATTAAAAAGTGTTATTCCATATACTGGTACCCTATTGCTAACAAAGGGTATGAAAAAAGAAAAAACTCTCCCATACTGTGCATCAAACACCTATGAGACAACCAACAGACTATTATGAACTCTTGGCATCACTGTAGCACAAAAATCTCAACAAAATCCTATCAAACATTTGAAGCCATAGTCCTAGTAATGAAATAAAAATAGGAGGT